TATTAGAATTATCAGCAATAAAAAAGTTTTAAGTGTCGATAATGTAGCGGCTATTTGTTTACATTTGAATAGTGAATAGTGGAATAGTATAGAATAGTAAAAGAAGTCAGTTGGTGTGCCAACTTCAGTGTGTTTTGTCAACATAGTGCTAACTTTAGACGTTCGTGTATCGAAAATTTTGTTTTTCTGCCCGTTAGTCCAACTACTTTTTTGGGGGTAGAAACTCTAATTTTAGTTGCAAAAACTGTTTTTCTTTAACTGTTTTTAAATATATTTGGTGCTTTAAGATTTCTGTATTTTATAATTTTTAATGACGATGTTTTGAGTTTTTATGTATTTTTGCTTTTCTGCGAGGTAAGAAATGAATTGAAATATATCTCTAATGAAATTCGAGAAAATAAGTTTAAATGAAGTGCAGCAAAAAATGTGTATAAGCGAAAGGAAATCGTGTGTACATATCAATTTTTTTTTTTCGTATACTTGTGTCTTTAATTTATTTGCTACTCCTACTCAAATGTTTTTGAAAAAAAATATTTGTAAGCAAAATGAATATTATGTATTTGTTAACTAATTAATTCTCAATCACTAATTAAAAAAAATAAATACCTATATATGATGTGCCGCCCAGCCGGTATAGGGGTTAGTGACGCTGTTGCTTTCCCGGTGGATCGGGCTTCGAATCCTGCAGATGGGATGTTCGTAAGCGGATACGGAGAGGAAAAGAGACACTGAAAATATACGGCGAGTAGAAAGTCCTCTTGAGAAGTTGGTGGTAAGGGACGAGCAGTAGAAGACCTTCAGACCGCCCACCCCGGGTGTTCTCCCTCAAAGTTAGAACCCGAAGGCTAACAGTTAACAGTAAGTAAGACCCGACGATACCAAATAGCATACCTACGGAGATACACAGCCTTGCTTCAAATTGTACTTGTATATGCCATGTCATACGTAAAAACAATTCAGTCTCCATTATCCTAGTAATGTGATTAGGATTAGCGGACATAACTGGTTTTCGTGCTTTTAAAAATATTAATCCTCCATTTAAAGTATATATATTTTCGAACAATGCATTGATTTTTAACTAAATACAGTTTATTCTCGATAATACAATATAGTTTGGTTGTGTTAAGAAAACTTCGCCTCTACTGGATAGTGAGTGAACAGAAGACAAAGCAGAAAATGAATGAGGTGAATAATGGAAGCTGTATGCTATAAGCAAGGTCCGTCGCATATACAATCCAACCTCAAAATGATCTCCGTAATGTGAACGATAAGAAGTTAGCATTCCTGTTAACATTACTAAGATGTAATTAAAAAGAAATATTTTTGTTTTTGGCAGATATCTCTCTTGAGCTTTGCCACGATCCAAATTATTTAGTCTACTCCCAAAGATAAAACATTCGTTTCAGCTTTCTTTATTTGCTTAGATTGAACGAGATTTCGAAGTCAGTTCGAAATAAACGTACGTGTTCTGAAGACGGCCCTGAAGAACAAAAAGTGTGAGAATGGTTTGTGAAGTTAAGGTCGGTACGCAGATTAACACTTTGAAAAATACTTCAGCGAATGATAGACCTTCCAATCTTAAGTATTGCCATTCAAAGAAACTGGTGAAGAGCCGCCCAGTCGATATGGTGGTCAGGGAAGCTCACTGCGATGCCGAAGGGCCTGGGTTCGAATCCCGGAAAAGGCATGTTTGTAACTGTCCGTCCCTTCATAGGAAAGGCGATGGTCGCCCACCTATTATGTACCTCCATAATAAAAAGACCACCACATTCGTCTTCGTATAGATTAATGGACTGGGTTACATTTGTAATTGCTCACAATCTGCCATTGGAAAAAAAGAAACCGGTGAAGATTATCTGAGAAATACATATATATGATAGAGGTGACACCTTTTCGCATTGTTGCTCAGAATCCTCTCCATGCAGTCGGGGGGAAAAACGGCAGAAACAGCAAATGTCGAAAGACACCGAGCATGATCACTTCTTGAAATGGAATAAAAGTGATTCGTACTTAAAAGTGCGTGATAGAGAGAAAATATATTTTGTTCTGTAACAGAGGAAATTAATACGAGTATAATGGCTAGATACGAATGAATCTCATGTATACATGCTAAAACCTGACTTCCACCAGAAAAAAACTGTGTCTAAGATTTGATAATCTAATTCATTGCAACTTTGTGAGACTTAATGCAACTTACTGCAAATTCATTTATTAATAAATTAGAAATCATGTATTAAAATATGTATATGAAAAGCAAACACAAACACGAATCACTAGAGAAATTCCTACCATTTTTGGGATAATATTATGTCTAACGCTCCAAGCATGATCTACTGAAATCTGCTTGAGAATAATTGTCGAGGTTATATTATCTCCCATATTCTTCTCCTTGATCCTCAACTGATTACTTTGGCTTTTGCTCATCGAACACCTTACCGATAGAAAAATGGTCACACAGTAGTTAAATTTCAATACGTTGGATATTTTGATGTTTTTTTTTTTTTTTTTTTTTTTTTTTTTTTTATTGAATGTAATAAATCACTGCAAAGTTATATTTTCTAAACTTTGGGGAGTGATTAACGGTATTAATCTTCTGAATATCTCTGTAAGAATAACTCTTAAGCTACAATTGTTAACTAAGAAGGTTATTCTATTCACCAAAGTGGCGATAAATACTCTGAGTTGGTCATACCCATGAACTTCGTCCGAAGTGAAACACAACTAGCGCAATTAATCGGGACAACCTCAAAAGAGCCGACGGATCAGAGGTTATTCAGCTCAACTCGGCGTCTCCGATGGAAGAGAAAGACCAAATTAAAACGACTTTCAACTCATCTATTCATCGAGCTTCGTTCCGGAAGACGCGAATGCTGACAACTTTTGCAACACTCGACCACCGCGGGTGATTTGGCGACCTCTTTTTAAATTTTGCTATTCCTGTTGAACAAGAACTCAACAAATTCTAACTCTATTACCATAAATCATGAATATTTGAGTGATAAATAATAAGCAATTATTCTTAGTCTTTTTGTTTTCTTTAAATTAACGATTACCCGAAATAACTGTATAACGAAAAATAGTAGGTGCTTCCCAATAATAATGTTTAATAATAAAAGAATGAGAAAATTATTCATCCTGCTGAGGATGCTCATATTTTATACAGGATATTTTGTTAAGTATTATGTTCCCAAAGAATTAGCCATAATTTGTGATATGTTGACGGAGGATGGGAGCACTCTCTATCTATATAGATAAAAGGGGTTTGACCCACGGTTTGCCTTACCGAATGGGAGAACGACTGTTAAGGAGGCAAACGTCCGCCGTAGGCTAGCAAAGGGCAATGTATATCTGCAATTGTATTTCTATTGTTCATCTGGCAGCAGGCAGTTATAACGTTGCAGCCTGTGAGCTCAGACTGAATGGTACCAGGCTCATATACATAATAATATGCAAAAAAGTATAGTAACATACAACAGGATACGATAATATGAATAGGCAATAAAATGCAATAGAAATTCAAGTAGAACAAAAAGTGTTAAGTGCTTACGTCCATACAGTTAATTCGTAGATGTATGAATGAATTAACAAATATGATTCTAGATTATACTATGAGACGAATGTAGAAACTTTCATATTCAAAACATAAAACATCAGTTTATATGTCCGCGAGTTAAGTTACAACGGTTCGTTTGTCTTTTCTGCTGTAAAGATTCTATGATATTATGTATAAAATGAATTAGCATATTATCCCTTTCTTTTTTTAGTCATAAATTGTTATACCTGTAGTTATTTTATTAAGCAGAGCAACATAGTTCTTGCTGGGAGATAACATCGATTATATTCAAAATTTGACACGTAGTTTTGTGCCATACCGTAGTATGTGAGAATGTGTCAATCTTCTCAAAATATTCTGAGAGTGTCTTAAACCGATTAGCAGATACATTCGAGTATGATACATCATATTATAAGAGGTCTTTCACAGTCCGCTAACTTATGGATAGAAAAACAGCTTTCAACACACAAATTCAAGTCAGACCGAATGTTTCATATTATAGCAAAGTGTAGCCTAAACCTTGGCTTGCTCTGACCAGTCACTGGCGCGAAAAATCAAGGGGGGGGAGAATAAAAAAATTAATAAATCTGAATGGGTTCAGATTTTGACGGTCTCCTAAAGAGGTTTGTTAAGAGTTTTTTTTTTTTTTTTTTTTTTTTTTTTTTTTTTTTTTAATGTTTTCTCAGTTCACCATATTTACATTCAATTATCTTAAGACGGCTTGGAATTTTTTTTAATTTAATTTTATTATTATTATTATTTTGTCTTTTGATTATTAACGTTTTGTGACGTTTGATAATTAACGTTTAATAATCGTTAACGTAACGATTATTAACGTTTCACTTTAAATATTGTTTATTAAATATCACGTTCTTCTCACCACATAAAATTCAATTTAACAGCAAAATCGCAAAATATGTAAACACAGCGATTTATTATGTAAAAACAGCGATTTAGAATTTCCGATTTACAAAATATTTTTATCCGCTGGAGATAAAAATCTTTTATTCCGAGCAGTGTTGCCACTGCTTATTTTTAAATCGTTGAGTTTGTTAATAAAAAATTCATTAAAATTTTATCAAATATAAAATTCAAAATTTGGGCTTCCAAGGTGCACATGTTCGGGCGGAGGACTACGTTATTTGAAATTTGATAGTTCTCAGAACCGTCGTTTTTTCGAAATACGAGAAGCATACATACATACACACATGCAGATTCTTCATTATTTAATTTCTTGAAACATAATACAGGGTAATAATACTCGGTGGCAATAATTTGAAAACTGACTCGCCGTTTATTGTGGACGACGCAGAATAACGTTTCGAGATTAATAGCCCTTTCGGGCTTAAAAAAAAATTTGTCTGCAAGTTAATTGCAAATAAAAGAATCATAAGGTGAGCAACAGTGAGCTTAAGCTGTCAAATGCTTAGACATAAACTCCGACGTTTGATACTTATTTATACTGCTTAATTTGAGTTAGGGTGGAAGTTGAAGAAAGCAGAGGTATAAAAAAGGCCAAACTATAAGATAATTGGTTATCTTAAATAATACCTTACAATTAGATCTTCGCTGGAGAAGAAAATTTCGTGCTGACACAGACGACATGCAGCATGTCACAATGAATCATCTGCCATCATAGCCGTATTTGGGGGGAGGGACTCTTTCTCTCTCTTTCCACTCCACACCTCCATGAAGCAACAGGCCTGCTATAATGCTTGTCCTCTACGGGAAAAAAAAAAAAATGAAAAAAAAAAAAAAAAAAAAAGAAAAAGAAAAACCTACTATCTCTGTACCACGGCCAAGGCCCTAGAGGACATTGCACGGGCATACAAGATCCTTGAAGGAAATACATTGGAATCCTGTGTTGCTAAAAGTGATGAGTATAGCATAAGCTTAAAAGTTGCACTGCATAAATTAGGATTATTTACATCAGTTTCATAGAATCACATACTGTGCTAGATGTTATAGGAACTTTTTACAGATATGCAAGTATCAAAATAGTAATTCATAGAAATATCCATACCATATTTACGAAATTCATACATATTCTCTCCATATTTGCAAAATAACGGTTTAAAACACATGAAGAAAATATATTCCTTACAGATTAAACGTTATGTGAGACTGAGTAAGGTACTTCGCAAAATAGAGCTCTGAGAAATATGCTGTACGGAAGGCATAAATATTATCAGCATTAGTGTTAATATAGTGTTATCTTGAGAACTTTCTTTAGGCTTTTATCATTTTCCACTAGTCAAGCTCTCCAGGTTTGAAGATTATTTTCAGAGGGTTTTGAGGACTGCGTGTTCTGTGTTAGAGCTACAGTACTGTCTGCCATTGAAACTAGTAAGCATAGTTAGGTAATAATAATAATGAACATATACTTCCTAAATGCTGTTATATTCATCCATATAAATTTCGACAGTTGCAAGTAAAATTTATAAGGCTTTAAAAATTCTCTCTAACCTTTTGTGTTTGCAATATACCCATAACTATTTCTATGATATTTTTATTACTGTTGCTAAGTTATATTTGAATTCTTTTCACATCGAAATGAGTTAAGTGCTTGCTTCGATGTGATACGACAATAATACAACGGCGTGCCACACTAAATACGATATTGCTGCTAACACTCTAGCAAGATTTAAAATATTTTTGTCAAACTCGCAAATTTCTGCTAAATGTGAAAAAATTATTAATGGCTTTCACCGAATTGCCAAAAATACTTTTGGAGTAAGCTACGATGTTAAGAAACTCATCTATAAGCAGTGTATTGTACCTTTCATTTCGTACGGCGGTCGTGCTTGAGGACATGTTCTTGCCAAGAAGGTTAACAAAAGAAGTTTAAGAAAGATTCAACGGAGAATTCTTCTTCGTATTATTAGTGGTTATAGAACCTTAAGCTATGAGGCTACTTTTGTTCTTGCAGGAGTTCCGCCTATTGATTTTGAAATTGCATATAAGAATAATATTTTTGAGCCATTGGCAACTCTTGCTTCGGAAGACTGTATTAATGGAATTGTCTCCTTCACTGATCTTCCTCATCCCGCTTCTTTAGAACCCATAAATTTCTGCGATTATAAAGAGACTGTTGAGTTTTCATATGGTTTTCTTTACAGATGGCAGCAAGATGAACAACAAGGTTGGCCTTGCATTTGTTCTTTTTGAAGGCCATTCCGAGATTTGTTTTCTTAGACACCGTATACGGAATGAATGTACAATTTTTCAAGCAGAACTTCTGTGCATTTATCTTGCAAATGGATCCAGGATCATGGGACAACATGATCCTGGACCTTATTTGTTCTGATTCTCTTTCTTCTCTTCAACTTTTGAACAGTATTACCAGCTGCGATAAATTAGTTATCGAAACCCTAGTAACTGTTAGTTCACTTAGAATTAGAGGTATTGATATCTGCTTTGCTTATGTGCGTGCTCATCATGGTTTCTACGGAAATGAAAGAGCTGATTTCTTAGCTAAAGATGCCTTAAATTTACCCATTGATATCAACATTAGCATTCCAAAGAGTTATTGGAAGTCCTTTCGTTATAAAAAGCATTTAGCTATGTGGAATGAGGAATACATTTCATCTTGTAATGCTGAAGTCACCAAAACGTTCCTTCCTTCTATTTACCATAGACTGAATTCCGAGTCTTTCCTCTCGTTAAATTTTAAAGTGTTTCAGATTTTATCTGGTCACGGTAAATTTGCAAGTTATCTGTTTTGTTTTAATCTACGATCAAACAATTTATGTGAATGTTCAAAAGGAGTTTCTCAGGATGTGAAACATTTGATTTTCTCGTGCCCTACATTTGATGGCCTAGATTATGCTTAGAGAACGATTTGAAAATGTTCGGAGTGACTTGGCCAGTGAACTTATCTGTTTTCGTGAAGTCCAGACTGCTGTCTCTGCTTTCGTTCGCTTTATTTACGCATGTAATTTTTAATGTTTATTTATACATGTAACCTTTAATATTCTAGTTAACTTACTTCTGTAAGTCCTGTGTTGTACATATGTGGTGCACGGGGAGTCTGTATGTTCTCAAAGGAAAAAAAACTCGAAAATGATATTTCGCTCATAAAATTAAATGAGAAATAAACAAGATTTTAAATAAGGCCTTAGCCATTTTTAGAGCGATTAATCTAGATTTCATTCAAAAGCAAAACGTTGGTTTACTTACCAATGTAAACTTAACTAGATTCCGCCTTGAAATCAATAGAGCTTTTTTAAAAATCTACGTTAAAGTTGCTTTTTACCTTAAATTTACATTTTAATTACATCTTTTTCTTCCATACAGAACGTTTTATTTACTTAGAATTTAAACATTGTGAATAATATCTACAAATTAAGTAATCTCTTCTTTTACGTGGAAGCATAAATACAAGTGAAAAAAAAATTCATTCGATTTTGATAAAATAGTAGAGGCTATAAAGGAAAAATGAAGATAGGAAATTTGTTCCCTAGATAGGAAATTTTGAGATAATTTCCTTTCCCTACAAATGCAAGTCACTATAATAATTATTATAAATTACATATAGATTTTCAATTTTTTGTGCTAATAATTAATAATTATTAATAATTATTAGCACAATAATTAATAATTATTAGCACAACTGTATAGAACAATGCGTTTAGAACATAGATTTTCGACTATCTTAAAACTCGGCATTAAAAATTTGTGTGCTTGTTTCTCAGCTTTCTAAAATCGGTTAAAAGATTTACATATAGATTTTCAATTTTTTAATTTTGTGCTAATAATTAATAATTATTAATAATTATTAGCACAATAATTAATAATTATTAGCACAACTGTATAGAACAATGCGTTTAGAACATAGATTTTCGACTATCTTAAAACTCGGCATTAAAAATTTGTGTGCTTGTTTCTCAGCTTTCTAAAATCGGTTAAAAGATTTTTGAAAAAAAGGAACTTTCAGAATGCAAGGAAATTTTGAGATAATTTCCTATCCCTACAAATGCAAGTCACTATAATACTTATTATAAATTACATATAGATTTTCAATTTTTTAATTTTGTGCTAATAATTAATAATTCAGCTCTTCTCATACCTAATGAGCAACTTCATAGATAAGGTGATAGGAATTTTTTTACTCGATGGTTCTTAAATTTGAAACTATTCTACATTTAAATCGTGAAATGTAATACTTCAAAATTACGAAATATTTCTTCTACAGACTGACAATGGTAGTCGTAAAGAATTTTTTTGAAAATTTTATTAGGAATTAAAATTAAATTTTATACTTCTAGCTAAAATTTATAATCTTTGAAATCATAACAGATCATTAATGCTCACAAAATATATGCAAGTTAGATAATAATTATTTATATCATTATAAAATGAAGAATATATGACTGAATATATGAATTCGTTTCACAGTAGAAAGCAGAAAGATGGAACATCTAGAGTCATAAAATTTTGAACATATAATCCTGTACTCACACATGTGCACCACGAAACGCTAGTTTTGAATTTCAAACATTTTATGGTAGAAGAGATGGTATTTTGTCATCGCACAATTTCAAACTTTATATCTTCATAAAACTACAGGCATTTCTTTTTAAAATGGAGTGTATACCGCTTTATATTTTAAAGCCTGAATTTTTAAAGATTTTTACAGGAGATGTTGCAAAATGGGGAAAAATTACAAATTTATGACATTCTGTGACCTGGACTTGCTTGTAGCAGAGGGAGATTTCTGAGAAATGCTCGAAAATTCTGAGTCGAATTCTGGTACTAAGAAATTTGCTTAATATGTATTGAGATCAAATGAAATAAAAATAGCATTTTTCAGTTATTTTTTTATAATATTATTCTTGAGATCAAATTATTTTTAAATTATTTGAAGTGGCATATAAAACCACACCTAAACTTCAGTAGTAAACAATTTGCTGAGAATTCCCTTTTTATACAAGAAGGAATGGGGATGCCGTGCAGAATCGACAATTGTGTAGGGCTGATGAATTCTTTGCTGGCATAGGATCAGGATATGCAGATACCCTAAAATAATAATTCAATCAAATTCTTTACATTTTGTTTAATCTTTTTCACTTATTATCATATTCTTCTGTGCTAATTATCAGCCTCGCTAAACTACTGTTTCGTGTATGCCGTTATCTGACCTACATCCCGTTAATCCTATGCTGGTGTCAATTCTACATAGTGTCAGTCCTATGCTAAACTCGATCTTACGTCGTATCGGTGGTATACTGGTGCTGGCCTTAGGCACTGTCCATTCTACGTATGTGATGACTATGCATTGCGAAATTGATCCCCTTCTTAGGGATTATATAATTATCAAATATTGCTTTTTATCGTGTTATTCTTTTTAAAGATGGTTACTAAAGAAAATTAATGAAAATCAGACCTTCAGCCATATAGCGCAGAGAATAAAAGACGCACCTTCAATGCAACGCTTTTAAATTACCATAAATATATTAGTGAAGTTTTGTTACTTTAAATATTTTTTAATTGTGCTTCTTGATGTTTTTCATAGCTGAAAGTTTAAATTATCATGTCATTTTTTTAAACGCATTTCTAGCTTTCCATAGCAAATTCGGCATCCCTTCTAGTTGTTCACTTGCCGCATCCTCGTTTAGCTCTAGTAACGAGTAACATTTTGTGCTTCCATTTAGAAATTGAGAGTTTTTGATTATCTTCGATGGTTTATGAGCTAATTCTGTACTCTGTTGCTAGAAGCTACG